GTCAGTTCCAAGGGGTGCTACACCTTGGCCTCTTTGGGCATCCACACTCATGTACAGATACCCATACATAAACGCATGCACATAATTACAAATAAAATTAATATTTTTAAAAAGGTTAGGCTGGGCAGTGGTAGCACATGCCTTTAATCTCATCACTTAGGTGGCAGAGGCAGGTGGGTATCTGAGTTTGAGGCTAGCCTGATCTACAGATTAAATTCCAGGACAATCAGGGCTACGCAGAGAAATCCAAAACAAAACAAACAAACAAAAAAACTCAAAAAACCAAAGTAGGGTGGTGGTAGTGCATACCTTTAATCACAGCACTTGGGAGGCAGAGGCAGGCGGATCTCTGCCAGCCTGGTCTACAAGAGCTAGCTCCAGGCCAGGCTCCAAAGCTACAGAGAAATCCTGTCTCGAAAAAAACCAAAAAATAAAATAAAATAAAATAAAATAACTTTATTTTCCTTCCATCATATTTACCTTTGCTCAGATGTTTGCAGAGCCGCTCAGGACCACTCAGTAGCCTGCACTGTGGGAGCTACTGACCAGTTCTCAGTGACTGCATGAGCACTCCAGCCTTCAGGAGAGAACTTCTGTATGGGTACAGAGGGCACCTGCATACCCTCAGACCAGCCTGCCACCTCTGGGTAGCGACAGTGACCTCAGGAGCTGGCACAGTCCATTCACCCTGGAATTCCTCTTTGGTCACAGTCTTCTCGGCAGCAGCCTGCTTCTCCTCAGTCTCACCTGGTCTCTGTAGGAGATCAGGCATAACCTCCCAAAGGTGCTCATTGGAGATAGTGTCATGCATGCAGAGTACTTCCGGGGCCAACATCATGCATGGGATGGCGATGTCCACAGAGTCCGTGTTACACAAAGCAGTCGTGGGCAGGTTGACATGAGACATCTCTGTGAGGGACTGATGGTCAGCCCCAAGATCGGTCACCACTAGAAGCTAAGGCTCCCTGGAGGCTGGTTGGATCTGGTTAGCGAAGTGGCAGCAGTTGGAGTGCTTCAGTGGCCGCAGCAAACTTCAGCAGGGCTCGCTGGCCAGTGTTGCCGGAGGAGATGATGCTGACATCAGCCGGGTTCTCAGTGGCCACAATAGCCTGCGCTGCAAGCGACTGCTTCTCCCAGGTCCTCTTCAGATTTCTGATGCAGGTACCACCGCTTTTCCTTTTGTAGATGTGCTGCTCCATCTGAAAGTCAAGGTTGGTGCCACCTGAGTGGGTCCCAGCCTCAAGGAGTTTGAGGACATTGAGGGTTCCCGACATTGTTTAAGCTTTCCTTTAAGTAATGATGGGAACCAAGAATACCACCATATGAACCCATCCCTGGGCATTTCAAAAAGAATTAATTTTTTTTTTTTTAGACAGGGTCTTGTGTGGCCCAAGCTGACCTCAAACTTACTAAGCAGACAAGGATGACGTTCAACTCCTGAGCTTCCTGCCTCAACCTCGTAAGTTTTAGAATTACAGATGTGAGCCACCATAAACTGTATTTTTGTTAAAATTTATCTTCATAGAAGTCAAATTTGCTTGCTACAGAGTATATACACTGAAGTATATAAAGTAAGTAGTCTCATTAAAAAAAAAAAAGCCCTTCCTGGGCTAGTGAGATGGCTCAGCGAGTGTGTACTTCCTACATAAGCCCAGACGTAGGTTCAATCCCTAGGACCTATGCAAAGATGTAAGGAGAGAATAGACTCCACAAAGTTGTCTTCTAACCTTTACATTCACTGTGTGGCACGTTTACCTGTGTGTGTGTGTGTGTGTGTGTGTGTGTGTGTGTGTGTGTACGCACACACATATGCACACTAATAAAAATCTAAATGTAAATGTCTGTGATTACATAAGCACAGGTTTCCCACATCAATCATAAACGGAGGTTTTTCAGCTGTTCATTTAACCCAGGAAAATCAGACTATGTAGCTTCTTTTCTTTCTTTTTTCTTTGGTTTTTTGTTTGTTTGTTTGTTTGTTTTTTGGTTTTCTCTGTAGCTTTGGAGCCTGTCCTGGAACTAGGTCTTGTAGACCAGGCTGGCCTCGAACTCACAGAGATCCGCCTGCCTCTGCCTCCCGAGTGCTGGGATTAAAGGCGTGCGCCACCACCGCCCGACTCTGTTCTTTTCGATGCTTGTGCTGGAGCAGCCACCCAGAATCATGTCCGGTTCACACTGATAGAAAGATTCAAAGCATAGGATGGGTGTGGGCAGGCTGGCTTCATAGCAGCAGACTCTGCCACTTAGCTCTTTGTAGTAAGTTGTGGTCAAGGTAACAGAGACTGGGACCTTTCAAATAGCTTACAGTGACCAACAGACCATTCAGTAAGTGCCTGGTGGAGGGCAATCCCTGCTCCCCACCACAGCTGCCTTTTGATGAAAGGAAACCTACATGGTGAAAGGATAGAAGCCAGATATTGAGGGAATATTGCTGTGTATTCTTGTGATCCATATTGTGATTTTTCTGGAAGGGGGAAGGCAAGTGTCCTGCAGCGACCGGAATCCATACAGTGCCTGGAGCAGAATGCACTAGAAAGAATGACCTCTTATCCTCTTTGGCTAGTGAGGTCTTAAGAAGAAGCGCCACTAGGTGGCAGTGTGGGCCCAGCAGTCAGGGAAGGATCCGGTCAAGGAGCGCAGTCAGGGACTGAAGAGGTAATAAGGAAATGGCCAGAGTTACTCGCAAAGCTTGAATGAAGCAAGTAGGTGGACAGTTTGGGCCGAACAGGGCCACGCCACGGTTCCCAGCACACAAGTGGATACATAACACTGTCAAATCCACAAAAGACTATTGGGGAGCCAAACCGTTTGGGGTTTCTAATCCCTGACCTCTATCGGAGATGCTTTCAAGGGGATAGCCAGGTGCTCTGATATAGACTAGAGTGAGGACAGAGAAGGATGCCAAGGAGTTTGCAGGCTACCTTGACCTAGAAAAGAAGTCTGTAGAAGGTTGTAGGGCTTTGGTTGCAACCCACTACTTGGTAGTCACACGACCAAAGGCATACTGTAGTCTGCGCCTTGGCTTCCTCACATGAAAGATGGCATTATCTTGGCAGTTGTGACTGCAGAATAAACCTGGAATTTGCTGAGTGTCTAGCACACGGTGCGTGTTCAGTAGTCACGGTGAACTGGCAGGGACACCGTCTTAGGGTAGAGCACTTGAAATGTGCATCAAAATGATCCAAGTTCAAAATCACAGCTCTGGGGGCCAGTGAAACAGACCAGCACATCAAGGTGCTTGCCTTAATTTGAGCCCTGGGACTCACGTGGCTGTGTCCTCTGACTTCACATGAGTGCCATGGCACCTGCAAACATGAACACACACACACACACACACACACACACACACACACATTTTAAAAAGGAAAATTACAGCTTGGTTGCATGACACCTGTGAAATCCCCTTATCGTCATAGCAATGTGGCAATAGATAGCTCCTACTGAAGAGTTAGCAGTCATCCAGGGAGGGATTCCCTGCTCTCTAGATACCCCAGCTCCACCCGCACCACATTCCAAGAAACTGGCTTCTTTCTCTGGGAGCCCTGATTGGGTTAACCTGAAGCCTAGCTTCCCCTTCAAGGCATGTACAAAGAATCGGGTCCCTTGGAGCCATTTCTCATCCTCACCAAGTACGCTTCCCCTTTCACAGAGTTTTATCTTCAGCTCCCTATCTTGGGTGGGGCACCCAGAGCCTTATCTGTGCTGGGGAAAACCCAGACATTATTATTCAAGATTCTACACACTGCCAGAAAAAACCTGTCATCCCTGCCAAAGATCTTGCAGCCACCCTTTCTGAGGAAGCTGGGTGGAGTGACATGAGTGGAGGGAAGAGACACACGGACCGGACCGTGATGGGTGTAGAAGTAGTGGATGCTATTGGCTCTCCGGATCTCATCTCCCCATATCCTGACCAAGGTTTAGGAGGAGGTTCTCAATAGACCCTATAGTCCCTTAATATGCTCTTTGGTAAGCTGGACATGATGGCTTAGCCTGTAATTCCACACTGGAAGCCTCTACTCGGAAGTTTGGGGATAGCCTGGTCTACCTGCTGAGTTCCAGGCCAGCCTGGATCTTTCTTCTCTTTCTTCCTTCCTTTCTTTCTTTCTTTCTTTCTTTCTTTCTTTCTTTCTTTTGTTTTTAATTCTCCCTGGTGAGTTATTGGGAATAAAACATAGCAAGTTCTCTTGTTTTACAAGAGAGCAGTGTCACTGTTCTGTCCCCCACCTCTTTGATCCTATCCCCAAACTATCTACCTTTGAACTCTGTTCTTACAGCACTTGGTTGTGTCTCACTAAGCCATAGACTGGAGCTATCTGGGAGCTGACTGTCTCCGTTTACCTCTCAGGGGGATAATTTCCATGATTGGAGGTCCACTCAGAGATCAGGCACGGATGGGACGGACTCATTTGATACAAAAGATTAGATGTAACCTGAATCCCTTTAGCTGTGGTGACCACAGTAGACCTGCTCATATCCTCGGACCGCTTATGCACTCCGCGCCTCTCCTAAGTCTCTCTCCAGGTCTCACACCATGCCACCTACCTCCCGGCAACTCCACACACAGTGTCCGGCTGTAAGCGAGACCCAATAGGGAGTCCTACTACAACGTCCGATCATCTAGGAGCGGCTAGCTAGGAGGACCGGCCCAGACCCTGCCCCCGCGCTGTAGTTCCACGGGGAGATAAGCGCACCCATCCCCAAAGAAGCAGAGGAAAGGAAGGCAATCTGGCTTCGAGTTGCCAGAGTCGCACCCTTCTTTCTAACTTGCCCCCAATCCAGTCATCTCTCTACCGGTCTCTAGGTCCCGCCTAGAGTTACGTCAGTCCAAGGTTGACGCACTTCAATTGGTCCGTCCAGTTACTCGGCTCCACCTCCAGCGCTGCTATTGGTCAAGTCATGGAGCTCCCGCCCAGTTTTCCTGGAAAGTTCTTGGAAATCTGTCAAAGGTGTTTCCTTTCGCAGTCCAAAGCTTTAGACGCCAGCGCCCCGGTTCCCCTCCCGGCCACCGCAAAGCCTGCAGTTCTAGGAAGATGCGGCTTCCGGGAAGGGCTGGGACACAGCGGACAAAAGATTAGGAGGCGCCTGGCCCCGCCCCGCCCTCCCAGCCCGTCACCCTCGTCCTTCCAGCCTGCTAGCTTCAGAATCTTTCAGTCCGTCGCCCGTGCGCCCCGGGACCTTGACCTTCGCGTCCTGCCGAGTCCCGATTCTCGAGCCGCCGTTGCCTCTGGGACATGGTCCTTTGCATACAGGGGTAAGCGCAGCTCTCTCCCTGCCCATGCCCCGTGCGGGAAGCACGGGAGATCACAGGCCTCCAGCTAGCTGCAGAATTTGGGAGGGCTTGACCGGCTGGAGGTGATGGAGTACGGGAGGAACACGAGTGGTACGCCTAGGATCCCCCCCAACACACACACACACACACACACACACACACACACACACACACACACA